GCTTACTGCCTTCTCCCCGGCCCACAACCCCAGTGCTTACTGCCTTCTCCCCAGCCCACAACCCCAGTGCTTACTGCCTTCTCCCCGGCCCACAACCCCAGTGCTTACTGCCTTCTCCCCGCAGCGCCTTCTCCACCACCACGCCTCGGTTCTCCAGCTCCCGTTGCTTGACCTCCACCTCTTGGAGCTGCCGCTGGATCTCCTGGGCCATGCGGTGGCGCTTCAACTTCTGCTGGTGGTGCTGCCGTCGGGCCTCGCGCTGGACGCGCCGTGTCAGCTTCTCGTTCAGCTCCTCCTCCTCTATCTTCCGACGTTCCTGTTCAAAAGGAGAGGGGGGAGGCAGGGAATGGGGGATGACCAGAGGCTAAACTGTTATCGTATAAGGAGAGGTATTTGCTCTTGGGAGACTCTCGTAGAAGTAAGAAAAAATACTTTGGAATATTTGTAGAAAGCAGACATCTATCTTTTTACAACTATTATAAAAAGGTTGCCAAGGCTTTAAATGTATTTTATCTAAAAAAACACACCGTATTACTGACAGATTTCACAAAGTATATATGGGTCTGGATATCAACCATCCTTTTGAGTCTTCCAATCTCCACAGAGAGTCACATTCAATTGCAGTTTTACAAAATTTTTTAAAACTCAAAATTTGTGCCCCTTAGTTACAGGGGTTTTTTCACTTGGTACAATAGGCCACCCATATTAACAGTGGTAAATCCCTATGAAGGAAGTTGTCCCATCAAAAGTTGTCAATACACTTCTGTTTGATAAAAGCATAGCTGTTTTAAAATTTCAAAATCTCACAGTGCCTGTGACCACAATAAAAGCTATGTCAGGACAGGATCTTGTTAGGAGAACAAATGACCTTTGTCAACGATAATGTTTTACACCAGACGACCAGGTTATCTGGAACGGACAACTTTGTGAAGCAGAATTGGTGAGTTATGACACAGTAAAGGGAACAGTCAAACACTTTATCAAAGTAATACAAATGAATTAAATCATCAAGTTAACACAATTTGTTTCAATTTTAGAGTGGGGAAAAATAGCCCGTTCTGTAACCTGAAGGATATAGTACTGGATAGCATAAGAAAAATTCTATCCAATATTTTTCAACTGAATGAAATAATAATGTAGGTGTTCAGGATGTGGAAACTAAATGAGAGTGTTGGCTTCTGGCCAGTGCTGAGTACTTTCAATACAAGCATTATGCTCCCTGTGCCAGCAATTCAACACGATCCAAACTGTGCCAATGCTAGGGGATGAACTGTTGTGCATTCTATTAGTTTTTACCAACAGTGCATTTGTGGGACAGGCCTGGGGTGCAGGGAGGGGCTCATTTGGACAGATGGGTTGTGGGATGTGAGGTTTGGGACGCGTATAAAGAACTATCAGAAGACTATGTCTTGGTGAGGTAGATCTGAAGGGACGAGGGTGAGGTACGGTAGGTGGGAGGGTTGGGGTTAGGGAGGGGGTCAGGAAACTGAAATGGATGGTAACAGTGTAGTGGGTATCATTGAATAGAGAGGTAGGGTTCAGAAGGGTTGGTGGAGTGTCAGGGGGTACAAAGTTCAAAGAGTAGGCGTGTTCTGGGGATAAGCTTTGGTGGGTTCTGGCATAGGAATGGGTAGATCATGGGATTGTCTGGTTTGTGGCATATGTTAGTGGGATGTAGTGGGAATGGATGGTAGGAGATGATTTGAGTAAGTGGAACGGTGCAGGGTGGGACAGGATTACTGGGGGGAAGGGGTGAACTAAGTGAAGTGGGCAAGTTGGGAAGGGCAAGCAGACTGGACTGGTTCAGATGGTATAGAGGGGGCAGGGTAGGTGGCCAGGTGGGGTGGGAAATTTTGGTGGGATGGGTTGGGTAGATAGTTGGGTGGGTTGGGGTGGGATGGAGTAAGGTAGAGTAGGGTAGGACACAGGGCTTTCAACAATGCCAAAAAATACTGTGATTTTTCAAGGCTTTAAGTAGCTAAAAAAGCAAGACTTCTCTTGAAGTATTTTGAATGAAAGATACAAAAAGTGGTAAAAGTGGTAGAGGATAAAACCTCTAAACCTCCACATGTGCTGAATGTTTTGGACAATAATCCTGAAATCTGGAAAAATCCAGAGAATTCACACTCCCGTGTAATATGCCAAGTCAGAGTAGGACGGGCAAGGTGGAATGGAGTGAGGTTGGTTTGGGTCATCTCTGGTAAGGAGCACCAAAACAAGAAACGGGTTGATGGCAAGGTGGTGAGAAGGTATCAAGGGGGAGGAGATGTGGGTCAAATGGAGGGGGGGGAGAGGTAAGGCGAATGAAGGAAGGGAAGGCAGGATTTTGGTGGGTTGCTTTATTCTTTAATTTCATGGCAGTTCTTATTTATTGACATTTCAACTGCAACGCGATCTACGCTTCCAGTGTCAACTTTAAAGCATTTTAAGAAGTGGATATCACACTACACTTTGTCTGCATTCATTAACCCTAACCCTCCTCAATCCTTCACCTGTTGGAGGATTGAGGAGGGTTAGGGTTAAGAAATTGAATTCCAGTTCATGATAATATTTATATTTCTCTAATATTCAACTACGAGCTTTTACATTCCAACATGGCAGAGATGGGGCGTGGTTTAATATAAAACCACAAATGGACATTGTCATGTATAATTCATAAGCTTGTTATGCTGGAAGCGATATCTAAGACTAAAACTACTTTGAAATTTGGACTGATTTGTCTGGCCAATGGAGGAGTGGCTACAGAAAGTGGGCTAATTTGGATCTAAATCATGCATTATTCATAAGTTTGTTATGTTAGGACTAACACTACTTTCATACTTTGAATATGAATTGCAATTGGGAAACACATTGGAATGCTCTAAACTGGTATGGTAGGGACTTATCTCATGCATTATCCATAAGCAGCCTGTAATCAAGTTAACTCATCTATAAATATTCAATACGAGGTGTGACTGGGGTTTGCTGAAGTTGTCAACGCTGTGTGTGTGTGTGCTGGGCAGGGCATCTGTGGTGTGTGCTGGCACTGTAACATAAAAGTGCTGAGGCCCAAACCTGTGACACTGCGCAACGCAGAAAGCGGGAAAGTTGCACTTCAAACAGGAAAAAACCTGCCCTGAACTTGCGGTAGTGCTTGAAGCCTGGTTTCCATATCAATGTAAGAAACGCACAGAGCAATGCAGGTCAAGACGCAAAACTGCAACGCAGACATATGGAAACATATTAAATGGGAGTGTTGCCAATAACCCAGATGTATGCAAACCAGCCCCACACGGATCGCCAGAATTGATCCCGGTTCAACTTTGCCGACTGTCTGTGTCAAGTCGCTGAGTAGGTTTATACAAACACGCACGCTGGCATGGCGGGCCTACAACGATGTTCCTCTCGCTTAGTGCCACCCATTATTTTCATTTTTATCTTTCTACTAACGTATGCAGCCCCACTCATCCAAAAAATAGCTCACTACGAACACAATACATCAAACTGGAGTATCAGTTTGACTTCAACAGGTGTTATTACCAAAAAAATTTCCGAGTTTCAGATGCCAGTTTGTTATTTTTGGGTGGAATGACGTCACACAGCATGTCTTCTAAGACTGCCCGCATCTTGATGTCTTGCGTGCTATCGGCATTCGCTATGACCACATGGAAACCAGGCTTACGAATGCGTGGCAGCTTCTACTGCTGTGCCACTGTTTTAAGGAAATGATGCCTCCCAAGTCTGGACGAATCTTTTGCTTTGCACACTGCTTCATATTTCCACGAATGTACCAGAGGCTTTGTGTGTATAAATCAAGCGCTTGGCAGTGCCACAGGTTTGGATCCTGATCATGACGGACACTAAACCTCATGCATAATTCACAAGAAGTAGGGCTTTGACGCCCACACTTTTTACGACGAAGCCAGCTGTGTAGCGGCACCACAGCATAACAATCACACAATGACGGCTCAAAATTAACCCACCAATGGGAAATACTGTTTGGCCTTGTCTTTAAGAACTGTACAATGCTTAAACCACGTTCTCCAAACAGAAAGAAAAAAACCCTCCCGTACACTGACGACAACAGTCTTAATCAGTCTTTGAAAAAGCATTCTGCTGGAGCTTTTGAGGCATGTGCACAGCTAGTAATTAATTAGAAACTTCCAACAGGTTACTTTTTTGTTAAAAAACAAGATGTGTAAATCTGAATCTATGTTATCTAAATCTCGGTGTCTTGTTTTGACATCAAGGTTAACAAGAAACTGTAAGACTCTTTTTCCTTGTTAGAAGTGAGCATGGGACATTTGGATGAATGTTACATCAAATGTTCTTTTCATCTCTTTCCCCTTTTTGCCAGAGACATGTTGCAATTCCTGAATATAGCCACGACTATAATTCTAACGCAGGTGCATTTGTGACGTGGACTGAGTTAATGGCAAGATCATCAAATGAACTCAGTTACAAATGACCAACACTTCCTCTAAAAATAATGTGACTATATAAACTTAGAAACGGACATCAAGTCAAGATTATGTAAGCTGGTCAATTTCACATACAGAGGACCTGGGTAGTGGGTCAGTAGTAGATGGATGATGACTGAGTTAATTTTGAGCCTGGATGAACACACGACTATGATTAGGCAAGCACACACTCAATGCAACCAAAAATGAAGTATATACCTCGACCGCTTTGGGGGACTTCTTAGTTATCACCTGCAAATAAGCGGGGGAAGGATTAAACAAGTGTTAAGGGGTTAGCGCACATTATGCAAATTAGCTGGCAGACGCTAACACTGGGCATACATATTTGTGGCGGGGCGGGCAGGGTGGGGTGGACAGCATATTAAGTGAATATACCTGGTCTACATGTACATGTACTTTGGGGGGCTTCTTTGAAAGTACCTGTAAGGGAAGTGGATAGATGGGGGTTGGTTATTGGCAACAAAAGCATCCTCAGATGAACTGCCATTTCCATAGCAACCAAAGAGGCACGATGATACCAAAAAGGACACACTGACACTGCTCTAGAAGAGACTTTTCGCTAAACTCATTTCTCACAATAATTGTGGTGTTTACTGGTACCATGGCTATGATTTTTTGAAGGACAAAACAAACTTGGAAAAACTTGTCTGAATTTCAAGTTTACATTCCAGAATTTGCTTGATTGCAAGAAATAAAAAAACCACCTTAATTGCAATTTTCATTTTTCAAGATTCACAAAAGTGCATTTGAAACATTTTGTTGGTCTCAATCAGCGACCGAAGATCACCAAGAGCAGTAGTCTGGTCCCACTGATTTCATCTCATACCATAACACATGATAATTCAACAGCAACCAAACTGCAAAGGAAAAATACTTCTGTTATTCAAACGTCAGCTGAAACCAAGGAAAGCACAAATTCAGCATTGCTTCTGGGTAAAAAATAAAAAAAATAAAAACAACCTAGAAGCAAAACGTTAGGAAAAGCACAAGCAAAACTAAAACCCTGTTTGGTAGAAAACTGCCGCTATCCACACCGTATATGCAGGCTGAAATGCACTTCCTGCTGGAGACATCATTGACACTAATGATGTTGATTACATCCATGTATGTACACGTATTGTATGCATGTACTGTATACATGTATTGTACATGTATGTCAGGGGAGAGTGACTACAGGAAGGATGGGGAACTCAGGAATGGGATAAAGTTAGGATTGGAGAAAGAGGTTGTGCAGGCAAGATAGGTAAGGCTAAGGAAGGGGTGTGGTCAGGATAAGGGCGTGGTCAGGAATGGGTGTGGTCAGGATAGGGTGTGGTCAGGGTAGGGTGTGGTTTGAAGAAGGGTGGAGTCTGGTAAAGTGGGGAGAGGCAAGCAGGGAGGTGTTTTTTAGTTTTGTACTAATGTGATATTCATTGGTCTGTCTACTGATCTTTGTGTTTTGTACTGACATTTTCCAAGAATGTGGTACTCATGGATGGCTGTTTATGTAGATGATATTTATGTGAAAGAGTCAGTGAATAAGACTGAGATGGATTACCACGGCAGTCCAAGCTATTGAAAACCTTTGTTATCTTTCTTCACACACACGCTGGAAACGTTTTTTTTTTTTTTTCACCAGAAAACAATGAGAAAACAAAACACTAGGACTGTGCGGCTTTCATGCACATGCACGTACCTTAAACTGCAGAATACACACAACAGGGATTCCAACATGTTTGCACAGCAAAAGGGTTAAATAAAAACAAATGCTCGTTCAATAAAAATAGTTATTTTTTTCAATGCATGTAAAACATTACCATCATGTAAAAATATGGATAATTATTTTGTTTCAATATAATAAAAAATGCATAAAAATCACTTATTATTCACACAATGCACAAATAAATACATAACTTAAGTACATCACTTTTATGAAAATATAACTTTATACTTTGAAACATGACAGGTTAAAAACCAACCACAAGGAATATCTGTACAAAAAAGTTTTGAGCCCCCCAAAAAATAGATACAGAATATAAAATCATTAAAAAAATGTTTAGGTGCTCCTTCATTTGAACCATCAAGACAAAGTGCTTCCTTGAATTAAGGGTGCAAAACTGAATCTAGACAAAATCTTGACAATTCGACAACTTTTTTCCGCACTCAAAGTGTTAACTGACAGCACAAGTGTTAATCACACAACAAACCAGTGATAAATGAAAAATTTGTTTGACTTTGACTCCATGCCATTTCACCACTCGTGGTTGTCCGAATAATCAGAGAAGCAATCCTTCTAAAATCAAACCAACCTTCGTGGCCTGCCCTGGAGAACAAGGAAACTTCCCCTGATACAAACTTTCTCAAGAAATGAGTTTTCAAAACCACAACGTCAAGCAACTCCAAACAAAACTTACACACCATTGATAATTTGGGGGGAAAATGCCAAGAACTTGTAAGTGTGCACGCACACCCAATTCTAATGAACACTGAAAGAATTTTTCGAAATTTTTCAAATTCTCAAACACTAATGCATGTCTTCAAACAATGCCAAAGTCAAACCAAAAAAGATTAACAGAGAGCAAGGCAGCTTTTAAAACCGCAAATGATCTGAGCCAAATTGGAGAGATTTACACATTGATGAAATAAAACGCCCGTTCAATCCAGAGCAGACCGCGATTATTCGTAAAATACGCTACAAAGAGGAAGGAACTGAGGATGCACGAGTGAAATAGCAAAATTATCCCTGAGAAGTTTACCTGTCTGAGCCTCTGGACAAGGCAATTGTACAAAAATAAAAGTGGGGGAAAATAAAGCAATCGTCAAGGCAGTAGGAACAAATGCATGGCAAGACATATGACGATGAGATTCTACATGAGGTAAAGAAAATGACAGTTATAAATAACATTCACACACAAGCATGGTGAAACTTTTCTTCAAATAAATAGCTAACACTTTAAATAATTCTATTGCCTACTTCAACTCTTCAGCGGGCAGTGATGATTTATTGCACCAATGGACAATGCTAAGTTGTTTTTGAGAGGTTTCCCTTATCGTAATGCCGTGCAAAAAAGTGTGAAAGATGTGGGGATAAATTGTAGCAATGTATGCTGGAGAATATTTCCGCATTCTGTCTGTGATCCATCTTTGATTTAATGCAAAGGACTTCAACCATCAAAAGCTTTCCTGTACATTCTGAATATCAACCCCAAGGCATTCATCGGTGCAGCTTTACTGAGTCGACAGACGGTTCAGAAACTGGTGATGCCTGGGAAGAATCCAATATGCTAGTACTGCGTAAAGAGGGGAAAACTCTCCCAAGATGGCTCAAAAGTGCAGACAAAAACCCTCTCAAAAGTGCAGACAAAAACCCTCCAGGCAAACATCCCAAGACTCGCTCAGGGGCCACTTCCACGAGAGTTGCCCAGGAAAGAATGCTGCTGCTCTGCTGGAATGTGAATCCGAACAAGAGAGGGCGCTGTTGTGCAGAGAGAGAGAGAGTCGTACTAGCTCCACATTTTGGAAACAAAACTGATCAGTACGTGTACAGTAAAGCGTGCAGCTGTTGTCTACTAACTGTCTATGAACACTAGCACATGTACCTGCCAGTTTGTTTCCAACAATGGTGACACTCATATTGCAACTCTCTCTACGCACAGCTCTGGGATGAGGATATTCTGTGCCAAGGATCACGTACACTTGGCGGTTTAATGCAGTCCAGCTGCTTAACGTCCAGAAAAAAAAAAAACCACCACTGAGACAGCTCTTACTCTCTCTTCAAGTGCACCATGACCGGAGTACATGAGCACACTGTCCGCGCAACTGGTTACCCGTTTTGGTCACGCGGGACAGCTTTGTGCCAGACAACATTCTTTAGGGCACTGAGCAACCGCATGAATCTGGCCCCGAGGTCCAGTGAAGGCAAGCACAGTTAACCATTACAATCACCAATGCGATGTTACAGCAGACCATAGCAAGTGTACATACACCACTTTAGAGCAAAGGTTTTGGCAGAATTCCAAGATGTAACTTTTGAAAACCAGCTTCAGATAAGAAGCACAACTTTAAGTCCACGGATATTTTTACTTTCCTTTGGTTCCGGCCCTTACAGCAATTTTTCGTGACTACATATCAAACCAAACGGAAGTCTTAGAATACTACAAAACCAAGATATGCCCATAAAAGCTTTAAGTACATCAATCCCCTGGCCATTACAACAGTTTCGGCGTGGTGACGACAAAGGAAACAGCGTGAACTTGTGCGAGACACACAGAAAAAATTACACCTTGGATTCCTGCTTTGTGTCCACAGAGCCACCTCTACGTCTAAAACTGTTCCTCCACCACGAGCTCACACGTACCTTGAATCGCTTGCCCCACATTCTCTTGGGCGATTTGCCCTTGCCTTTGCCCTTGGCCTCGGGGCTGGCCTCCTCGCCCCGCTCCCTGGCCTCCTCCTTGGCCGCCTCCTCCGTCTCACTCGAGGAGCTGAAGTCCAGGTCGATGGACGCCGTCAGGCTGGGGTCTACCGTCAGCCGCCGGACTGGTTTCACAGGAGGAAGATTGTTTGGAATTTAGACTCGGCACTTACAAATGTCAATTTACAGTGTGGCTAACTACGGGCATCATTCTGGACATTCAATCACTATAGATCCTGCTTCACAAATCCTATGGACATGTACATGAATATTCATGTACTATCACCATCTCGCCTACAAAAGTGTTTTGAGCCTCTGTTTTTACTTTTTAAAAATTTTTAGAATTATCCAACACAGAACAATGAGGTTATTCCTGTATTTCATCTTTTTTATTATATTCATTCTGACTGATAGCAGGGTTTGCCCAGCTTTCAAGTCAAGCTGGTCACCACTGAAGAATGCAAATGGTGCTCCACAGTTCTCAAAGGACTGGTTAGCTTCACTTTCCGATTTTCTTAACCCCTTTTCTTAACCCCTAAACACCAGGATTCTTTTGACCGTGACTGCTGGGCTGTGGTATGCCCAGTATGCAAAGCTCTGTCCAGCAGCAGGCCCCATTGAACCAGCAGCTGCATGGTGAATAGACTATACGTGTGGTATGCACTAATCCTCATACATAGCTGTGGCTGTCGACGGTTCCCGGGGTGATGGGGTTAAAGAAAAACCATTTTAAAACTGAAGATCTTATTTACCTTTCCAGGGAGTAAACACTAGGGAAAATGAAATCCACACTGGAAGGAACCCTACAGCAAAAAAATTCCCAGAGCAACCACAAAACTTCCTTCTGACTGGATTTTGTTGCCTTACATTTTTCCCTTGGTATAACTGAACATGTGGAAACAAACACCGGCACTTTTACTGCTCTTTGTATAATGGATTTTTTTTCACAGTCACGAACTTGGCATCAGACAAGAGTTCTGTTTGTATGAAAGTCCCTGTTCTATCAAACAAACACCAGGAATTTGAAGATTTCTTACTCATTCTGGGTAGCTGAGCTGTCGTTGGTTTGATCTGAGGTAAGTCTTCTCTTAGACCTGTCCTGGGACCAGCTGAAGCTCCTGGCGTATCCAGTTCACCCTCGGCAGACACAGAGGCCTCTGTCGAGTCAGCGACGCGGTATGCTGCAGAGCGATCCTCCAGTTCACTCAGGGAAGACATTGACTTGGACTTTTTGGACTTCTTCTTGCTCTTCTTCCCGGCCGCCTTGCGTTCCAACCTTGGCGAATTCGTCTTCCGCAGGGCATCTCGTCTGCGCATGTCCCCGCGGAGCTTGCTTAGCCGGGACTTCCTCTCCTCCGATCTGGACTCTGACTGGGGGATGCCGTCGGTGAACTGTGACGGTGTGTGGTCGCTGAGCGGTGACCTCTCACCCGGCGAGACGGAGAGGTACTCCGAGGTGGGCGGGTTGTCCGTTTCCGGGGTGAAAAACTGGTCGCTGCTGCTGCTGGTCTTGTTGGCCAGAGGGGTAGGACCAGCAGGAGTGCTGCTTGCTTCCCAAGGTGGTTGAACTGCGACAGCTATGGGGCTGATAATATCAGGAGTGCTGGATCCTGAGCTGGACCATCCTTGGTTTTCCTTCCTTTTCGTCTTGTTTCGTAGCATCCTCTTGCCAACCTCTCTTTCCTCAGGGGTAATCCCATCAACATGGCCGTTATCCTTGGACGGTACTTTAGGCAACTGCCGTTTGGGTGATTTCTTTGGCGAGTCCCCTTCTTTCTTTTTGACCACCCTGTCACGGGCTGTGCCACCCGAGTAAGTCCTCTCCCTTTTTTGGGATAGCGTATCCATTTTTATCGATGTCGGCCGTATTGCAGTCGGGGGGACCACGTACCCACTCGGGGAATCTGGTCGTTCTGGTAGCATCTTCTTTTTGTTGCGGTAGACCACGCCGTTACTGGTGTTTGCATTCTGGTCTGCTAACTCGTCTATCTTTTCCTCCACCTTGGAGACGTTTGAAATAACATCCAGAGCTGGGATCTCTTTGAAAGAGTCTGAAAATGACCTGGACATGACCAGCCTAGGTCCACTATCCCTTTTATTGTACATGGGGCGATATTTGGGTTTATCCTTTGAAGCAGGTTGTGGACTCTTGGCATCTGTTCCGTTTTCCTGTAACTTACCAGATGGCACAACGTCTGGAGTAGATGTTAAATTGGGTTTTAGAGCATCTCCTACATGCATTGGTTGTGCAGTGTCCACGTCAAGTTCTTCATTCTTTGTAGAGGTGTTGGGCTCAGTTTCTAATTCCATGTCAACTCCAATGTCTGAGAGTTCAAGGTCTTTTACTGTCGGCAGCTGGGGCGTAATGTCATTTTGTTGGTAACCCGACGTGACAGAGAGATCCAGAGCAACACTGTCCACAGACACTTCCCTTTTGTGCGAGTCCACTTCTCCTGATTCCACTGTCATATCCAACCCAACGTTCTCGGCGTCTGTGATCACAGTATTGTGGGAGACCTCATCCGATTCCAAAGTGACGTCCAGGTTGCTCCCGTCAGCCAGGGGAGTCTGGGGAGTGCTGATTACGGCCGACTGTACTGTATAATCCAGGTCCACAATCTCCTCCTTCGCCACTGGCCCAGGCAAGTCGACAAAGTCGCCTGGACGTAAACTGTCCGTGCTTATCATGGAAACTGAAGAGAAGGAACCACTTGGAGTGGAGATTGTAAAACTCGAGTCTGACATCCTGGAAGCTGTTCGTGGCTGTGTGTCTCCCTCAGCAATGATGTCACCTTTCTCCTCTGTATTTCTGTACTGATGTCTACTTCTGTGAGTTCTATCCACAACGGGACTGGGTGTTGATGTTTCCTTCTGAGGTGCAGGGCTCTTTATAATTTCACCGTCGTCATCGAATGCAGCTTTGTTGGTCTCTCTTGAAGAATCCTCAGAAGGCTGCAGGACTCCCATCTCAAAGACTTCATCCGACGACAGGTACTCTTCGTCAAATTCCTCAGAGCTGACTTTGTCCTCCTCCTCGCCGCTCAGCAGCCAATCGTCTTTCTTTTCCTCCCCATTGTCGACATCAATATCCATCTCCTGCATCGATGCGACCTTCTCGTCGTCTGTCAGACCAACAAAGCCCTCATGGTCCAGTTGGGGGACAACTGGGATTTTGGCCTCCTCCTCGAAATCAGCATACTGCTGCGACAACGCGTCAAGGTTCATCTTGAGCTTGCTGGGGCTCTTTTGCAGCAAGGGAGGCCTGGGGGATTCCGGTGTCGTAGCCCCTGCCTCGACCTGCTGTATGCCCGTGCCCTGATCCTCCTGGACTCGTCTCGCTTCCTCTTCCTCTCTCCTCCTCTCTTCTTCCCGAAGTCTCTCCTCCTCTTCTGCTTTCCTTGCTGCCTCCTCTGCCTTGCGCGCTGCCTCCTCTGCCCGCTTTTGCTCGGCCAGGATCTCCTCAGGCGGGCGCCAGGGCTTCATGGCCGGGGCCTTCATGTCGTTCAGCCACTGCTGCTTGAGACTGACGACGGTGGAGATGTGGTTGTATCGCGGTTCTTCCTTCTGTGCTACAGTGTCTTCGTTCTCATCTTCTTCCTCGTCATCGCTGTCATCTTCTTCGCTGTCTTCCTCATCACTGTCTTCTTCACTTTCTTCATCACTGTCATCTTCGTCATCAGATTCAAAATCAGAACCTAAGTGGTTTAAAACAGTAAATAAAGGAAACAGTAAGTTATGATGTGGCGATAGGACCAGGACTTTAAATAGCGAAATGTGGGCGAATTCTTATGGCCAAATTATAAAATACGACATATACCCTCATGGGAAATTTTTGATGCTAAGTGACGGCAAGTATATCAATTTAATCCACGATTGTTTGCATCACGCTTGAGCTAATATGTTCATGCTCAAAATGACACAAACACTTGTGGATTGGTCGTGTGCGTCTAGTATGTTTGCCACCACCAGGCATGTTAGAAACCGGCCGTGTTACCGATCAAGAAATTTTCAAAAGCAGCATTTTTCTCATCAGCTGGCCGTGAAACTGTACCAAGTGTGTGTGTTCCGCTGTGCAAACGTCACAGTTTCCCGACGGATACCCACAAGATGAACGAAAACACTCGCAAGTATGATGGCCCAACAGTTTCAATGATTACGACTGCTGACAAGTTTAAATTTTGATGCAATCCTGACTCTGTTTCCAGTTTACTTTCTGCTGCAAGGTTAAATGTTTCAACAATGAATGCCGTGCAAATTCCTTCTAAAACATTTTTACAAGTACGGTTAGAGGCTTACCATACTCATATGTGTCATCTTCATCTTCGTCTTCATCTTCTAAGGTCTTGACAGACCCAGACCTTTCCTCCCGTAGCTCTGAATCACTCTCGGAGGATCTGAAAAATAAGAGGAAAAAAACCCACAATTTGGTTTATGGCCAGATGCCGTCAATCGAACTGAGTTGGCAAAACATGCTCTACAATGGCAAAATGTTAATAGATCTCATTTGTAGAAATTGCAGGCATGTTAACTTTGCCCACGGAGGGGGGGGTTACAATGGCAAGTGAACAGCCTCGCTTTCATGTAAATTTAAGTACTGACCCAACTAAAATTACAATTTTTTTATGTCACCATAACAACACAGTGTATTCTCCAATTGACAAATGCAGCACAATTTGCTTGTAAATGGACTAAATAAAGCTAGCATTTCACTGTGGTCTCAAATGATCTCACTGGCATATGCTTTAGACTTTAACATAACCCTCCTTCCACAAAAACATTACGAGGGGAAACAACTTGCAATGATAAAATCGTACCTGAGGGGACAAGGTTGAAGGTAACTGAAAAAAGCACTTACTCGTCTTCCTCATCCTCCTCCCCAGAAGTCTGCAAGGAAGTGCCCAGGTTGTACTTGGCTATTTCCTCCTCTGTCACTTCCACCGTGCCGGCCGCTATGGATGCCCGCATGTTTTCAAGCTCTGACAAAAAAAAAACCCGGTAGGAACAGGAAAATCTATCAGCTGAGACGGAATGACATCAATTCATATGAGTATGATTTCAAAGCACTGCTATGCAGGAAATATTGCCAGGCAAACCACTAAATAAGTAATTTGACATATTGCCTGATATTGCCTCTTCAACCAACAGACTGATTGCGGCCGTTAAGTCACATGACCTATGGGGGTATCAAACATCAACAAACATGGTGTAATCCCATAGCAGTGAGCGTCCTGAGTGTAATTTACCAAACCTAAAGCCGACGGTCGGTAAATTACTCACACTGCTGATGTGCCGGCACATCGGCTTCATTTTTGGTTAACAACACTAAAACCACATTTTGCTATGGGGGGATGCCATGCTTCTTGATGTTTGATACCCACTATAGGTCACACGACGTAGCGGGCGCAATCGGTCTGCAGGGGGCCATAGGTTGCCGAAGTGTGCGCCTGTCATAGTTAAAAACACACAGCAGAAGTTAAGTGCTACTCCATCCAGTGAGGGCGTCTCCTCGGGCTAGTTGAGACCATTCCCGCCTGTGTCACTACTGACAAAACAGACAGATGGATAACTCACCGATGCGCTCGGGGGTGGCTCGGTACCTCTTCTGGCTGGGTTCCAACAGCAGGTTGTTGTCTGTGAGTGAAGGGATGCTGGGGGGTACCTCACTGTCCTCGGGAATAGTGGTGATGACAGGTGTCTTGGGTGATGAAGGCTGCAACGTTGGTTAATTGAATCCAGACAAACGTATGAATATAAGTCATTTTTTTTCTTGGTGATGTGGAAAAGTTGAGTAGATACAACACAATTAGATCCTGGATCCTTTTCCAGGACTGAGCACTGACTGAACAGTTACGTTTTTGTGGCACTGCTTGCCTGTCCTTAAATTTTGAGAAGCAACTTATCCAGGGCAAAAACTACTGGCATCTTTTGGCACAAATCTGAAGACGCACAGATTCATTTCAACATCGGTACAATGATACCAGAATGAAATCAACTATGCTAGTGCACGTTTCCAGTTTACCGTTCCAAAGCCAGTATCTTCTTTGATTAGGTTGAAATACCTCAAATGATGACTTACCTCTTCGACCAGCTGTCGTTTTCTGTTGGGTGTTGGCTGGCCTTTACCCAGCGTAGCAAGGTAATGGATTCGGCAGAAGAACTTGCCTGGTGGGAAAGGGGCAAATTCAACAGGGATAACCGCTTCAATACTCACACGAGGACTGTTGACAGAACTGACTTAGATAGGCATCCAGTTTTTTATCAGTGGGATTAAAAAACATCAGCAGACAGGTTTCTGTGATCTTATTCCAATTTGTAATTTTAGAGCTTCCCTTTTCTTTATTGGCAGGCTGAAACTGGGATCTGTTTTTTTCCTGATCTGGCTTTCGCTACTTTCTTTATCATTGTCCAATCAGTGTACTGTTACCAGTTGAGTACTGTTTACATGTAACACAATGTTTAAAGAGACGAAGTGGAGTAAAATGAATAAAAATAATCAGAATTTTTTATCTCGAAAATTCATCTCAAGACTGGGGGATGTAAGTGTAATTTTCGGCCCAAGAAATCTACAATTTATATCTTATTAGATTTGAATGCGACACAGTTGGAACACCCACCCTTGGATTTGCCGTCCGCATCCTTTGAGAACACGTAATTGCCCACATGCAGTGTCGTCTCGCAGTGTTGACAGCGGAAGCAGTCGCGATGGAAGAAGAGGCCCTCCACGCTCAGTCGCTCCATGACATACACACGCTTGTCGCAGAAGAAGCACACGTCGCTGTTCTGTGTCTTGCTCGGTTCAAAAGGCTTTGATTTCTGGAGAAATGGCAAGGCAGACAGCAAAGTTAACAGTCAACTGTCATGGTTCAACGGCAAAAATATATATAATTTCACAATCATTTTCAAACCAATTCTACCGAAAAAAGATTCAAGGAAGGTCGGCCATAATTGTTGACTTTTCCCACAGGCATGTGCCAAATGCATCTAGACTGACACATGTAAGAGTGTGAACTACAAATGACAAAAACAGTGAAATGAAGTCGGAATGAACGGAAAGTTCACAGATGTACTCCTAATGATAGTCTTTACTTGCAGGCAAGATCAGGCATGAGTCAGTCAAGACCTGGGGGGTGTGTTCTTGCAGTCCCCTCCCCTCACTTGGTATGCTCGAAATATCCCGCCTCTTTTAATGTCACACGATTTGTCCATTTTGCTTGACTTCACCTTGTTTAACTTTAAGCGACCCATAATCAATTATACATAGGTTTATCTGTGCAAGTCAGCTGCCTGTACTTAACAACAACAAAAAATGAATTTTTAAAAGTCAAATCTTACTGGTCTGTTGACAGGCCTGTTATCATCAGTCACAGTCAGGCCGGCCAGAGTGCGGAACTGGGCCGTCAGTTGCTCTGCCAATCCACTGACGCGATTAGTACCGGCGGGGAGTTCGGAGGCATCGATGACCGGCTTGGCTTTCCTGGCGTTGGTTTGCTCCATGATTCGCTCCTTCATGCGGGCCTCTAGGTTGGCTGCTCGGACTTTCTTGAGGGCCTCCTCCTGCCGAGTGAACGAAATAATCAAGGCTGAGCACTGTAGGAGCAATGCTGGTCACATGTCTGCCAACTTTCGTGGTGCCTGAATAACCAAAAAGGCTCGACAACTCTTCTGGCCTTCAGGTTGACAGTTTTTGATACTTATCCATGTGAGTATATTGCTTAATCTGCAGTCTTCATTCTCCTTTGTAAACCTAATTTAACAAGAAATATTTAGCTCTTGTCTTTTTGTTATAAATGCATATCCTTCTTGGTTTAGTATTTCATCAATATTTTCACTGTAAGGCATTTTAACCCTAACAGTCCTCAATCCTCTAACAGGTGAAGAATTGAGGAGTGTTAGGGTTAAGGTACTTTCACTTAAAGCGCCACAAAAATGCTTTTCAATATCAATTCAGGACCTGCAATGAGAATCTGAATGGGTGTGCATAAAACGAAAAGGAAAAAGAACATTTTCTCAGGTAGATATTGCCACTTTCACTACGTACATAGGGGATGAGATTGGACTTTATCATGTACAGAAAAACAAATCTTGAACAGAGCTGAACTGAAACCAATACAAGTATAATTAATTATAGGGTGAAATATTACATGTCTCTTGATACTGTCATACTGTCTATCAGCCTTTCACGTCAGATACGTATACTCAAAGAGCAAGTGCTATGAATATGATCAATGTCAATATCATTCAAAATGTGACGAGAAGGCTTTGGGGAGGTAGGAGATAGACAGGAAGACAGGCAGGGAATGCATTTGTGTCTAGTTCTCTCTTTACCGGAGATTCCTTGATCTTAGGTCTCTTGGCTGCGACGGGACTCAATGCCTCCACATTCTCCTTGTTGCCATGGTGGGACTTCTTGTGGCGCATCTTGGAGGAGATTCTGGAGAGGAAGGAGGACTTGGCAACCGGCGATTTGACGTGGGTGGGCACCTCCTCAATCTTGGCCAAGCTGGCTGTGGACGGCCAGGCAAATATAGGCATAAAGTAAATGGAGAAAGAGACTGGAAGAGGCGATTCTGAAGCATTTCCAAGTAACCCAGCCCCCAAATGTTGCAATCACGGCACAACAAGTTTTTTGCTGTTCTATCACCGACGCTGTTATAAGCGTTTTGTGAATTAAACTTGAACAAAATCTGGTACACTGTGTTAACTGATTGCACATAAACATTACAATTTTAATTCCTCAGACTAAAGACACTGTTGCAATATCTTGTGATTCGGGGCAAAGTTTTGCATAGCAACAACCATCTCTGGAATAGACTGGTTCCTATGTGCCCTTCTTGTCCACTGAAAACAGTGTATTTGTGTGAGGCCCCTCTTAAGTAACTAGGCATAAGGTCGCCAAGAATCACAAATATCACAACAGTGTTTTTAGAAGGAGAATTCAAAATTGTTATGTTCCAGTCAACTGAAAGAACTCAGTGTACCAGATTTTATTCAATTTGACTTGCAAAAGGCATATTCTAGCGTGGACTTGAACAAAGAAATCCCTTCTCACGTTTCAAAGGAGGAGGCAGCTCATCCTTAAAGAGGTCGTAGAATCGCGAGATGTAGACCACCATGGTCAGTTTGTCTGGAGCCTCCATTGCCGCAATCTCTTCGCCCGTCATTGTCGGACTGATTCCAAACTCTCGCTCAGCCAAATCAAATGCCAGCTGGTTGTTGCGCACGATGTCTTCCTCACGTAAGGAATTAAAATCTCTAATGCAGGTTAAAGGAATCAACCACACAAGGAATTTGCACATAAATCAGCCTGATTGTCAAAATGGCTATTGTTTCATATCTAGAATAAATATATTCTAGAAATATATCTGAACAAGGACACAAGTAGTCTTCTTGCAGACCGTTACAGACGGTTACTTTACAACAGAGCAAAGAGAGTGCAAAAGAAATTTTAAAAAAGCAAGAACGCTTTCAAAATCCACCTGATTACATACATTCACTTGTAGAAAATATGGAGGTTACAAGATAAACCATTCCTGGCAGCATTGCTAACTGTTAGGACCAACGACAGACACTCACATTAGGTGTGGCCTGTAGCGATGAATGATTGCACACAAGGCCAAGCCGTTACGCCAGGATGTTGTCATATTGTCTATGTGCACGTTCTTGTAGGTGTCCGTCACGCGTTGGCACCACATCAGTAGCTTACTACCGCGCACTATAGACCCTACAAGAAACACGGAACCACAAATGACACTTTACAAAGGCCTCATGAAACAGCTGTCAATATTTTTACGAGGTGGTAACCCAGATAAGCTAATGCTGGAATTCATGCTTTCACTACATGGCCAAGCCATTCCAAGATGTGAATTTTGTTACCGTGTGAAAACGGCAACACTAACCAAATTCTGAACAAATCTCCCTCAGCCCTTGTTTATGCATATCAGTTCTTGCACATTTTCCAGAAATCTCACAGTACACGGGGTACTCTGGTCAAAGTCAGCAACAGCAACGGACACTATCCAATCTATGCCAGGTACACCCCAGTCAAGCTCCACTTCTTGCTTGAGAGAGTCAATACATGCCACCAGTTTGCAATGGAATGTGCAAAAACAGTAGACTGGAGACCTGATAACACACGTAAATGTATGTGCAACAAACATCTAGATTATGGTGCAAGCAATTGCCAGAGTTCCCACAGCGATCTGAAAACCAAATTTAATGACTTTCTAGAACTAGAATGTTATTGTTTCCATGAAGTTTCATTTCATTTTGCAGAGAAAAGTTGTTTGGTGTTATAAATTGCGACAGCCACTTCTATAAACTGACAAGGATATAAGTCCATCAAATATAACCCTTGCACAATCTTGATTTCCATGACTTTTCCATGGCATGTTTTTCCACTGATAACAGGATTCCAAGGCACCCTATTTTCCCCAGATTTTCCTTGACTTTCCATGAAAACCTTTTTCCTAGGATTTTTTCAAGACCTTGGCAACCCTGAATTGCACACCTCGAATCAGAGAGACGGTCAACTGCTTCCAGCAGTCGTAAACGCTGACAGTCCCCACTCCTGCACCTGTCTGGGATTGAATGTGATGAAATCGGTCGTGCTCCTACCTGTTCGGTTCAGCATCTGCTTCTCCATCTTCACCACCTTCTCCCACTTCCTCTTCAGGTCCTCGTTGTCCGTGTCGTACAGGTGCAACACCTCGTGCGGGGCAGCCGCCTTCAGGTTGACGTGGGGGTAGCGCGTGGTGGGCGTCAGGCCGTACTGCTCGTAAACCTTGCTCAGGTTCTCGGGAGTGGTCTGAGGCAGGAGGCGGTAGATGCTCTCCCGCTCGGAGATGACCTCTGGCGGGGACATCTGGCTGGAGGACCAGTTTCGCACCATCCAGGCCGCGTCAAAGGCACCGAGGAAGCCCCGAGCGCAGCCTGAACCTGTTGGCCAGAAAGGCTAGAAAAGACACATTGCAATGTTAGTAGGATCCATATCAAAAATATGGATCCCACATATATTACTGATGGGGCAATAGTTGTGATACATCAAATCTGAGCTTCAAATATCAATGGGTATTTCACAGTCATGTGACCATGAAAGAGATTTTCTTTAAATTTTTTTTGGTCGTACTGCAACCTGATGGTGTGACTTGAAATCGATATATCTTTGTCAGACATCTTATATATCCTATAAATGAAATTGGTGCCCTATTATTGTGATGCATGGATAAAGAGCTATTCTTCAATAATTCTAGTTTTGAGACTATGGGCAGCAAATCATAACTTCTTCAAAAGTGTAAGATTGATTTGACACTGATCCGAAATCTAAAAGAGCAACTTCTAACCTCAAGCAAACTGTCACCGACAAGCGCCATCAGTAGTCTGTGACCCTTGCGCTCCATTACACGGGAGGCGTGCTCAGCCTGAAAGATGGAGGTGAAGTCGAACATGGCCACGTCGGGCTGGCCGTAGTGGTTGAGGGCGTAGTCCAGCCTGGGCAGCTGGTGGTTGGTGGAGAAGTCGGCTGCCTCCCGGGCATACGCCTGCAACTTCTCGTGGCTGTAGTTCTCGCGAGAAAGCAGTCGGGCAGTGTCGGCGTGATCCTTATGGGCAACAAGATATTGTTGAATGAAGCTCGTGAGAAACTTGTGGCATTGCCTTACAGGATATTTTGAATTGCTTTCTACTGAACAAACCCAAAATCGACAGAAATAAAAACAAACAAGGTTGAAAACAGGGACACACAACACCATAAATAGAGCAAATCTTGGCAGCAATTCTGCCATTGATTTCTGCCATCACTTCAAAGCCACCACAACAGTTGTAAATGTGAGCAGCATGCACTCTGTACTTGGAGTGAAACCATGGCACAATTCTTTGTTTGAAGCAAAGTTCATTTCTGATTGCAGTAAAAAAAAAATGACGAAAAAGAATCACTTTGTCTTTATGACAGTAACATGGATGCTGGTGTTGACTCAACGACAGACACTGCCCTGGTTTATTCCACTTACAGCCTGCAGAGTCATGAGAAGAATATTTTCACTCGTTGAGTCATGACAGAAATGTCAAACCAGTGGAGCAGCGCTCATGACATAACAAACCTTCTGGTCCCCATTAATACTGTGTTGTAATCGAGTCCCTTCATAAGACAAGTTGTGAGCAATAGGCCAAGCAATGGCAAAGGAATGCATCTGGCACAGCTCAGTCAAATAACTGGTGACTTGGCTTACGACTGGATGACGTGTCATGGACCTGACAGCAACACCGCCCCTCTACCACTTTGCCCTCTTCCTACCTGCAGGATGACGCCCTTCTCAATCAGGCTCTGCTTCTTGGCTGTCATGACAAAGTAGTGGGTGTCGTCCTTGTAATAGACGATGTTCTCCAGGTCGATGCGGGTGGCGGCCTTCAGGTCCTGGAAGAACTTCTGGTTGAAGATGAAGGCCACGCCGCTGATCTCCTCCACCCGTGCCTCCTCCGTGGTGTGGCGGTTGATGAAGTTGGCCGTGATGGCGATGGCCAGCTTGCCCCGGAACTCTTTACGCTTAAATCCTAAATTTATTAGAGAGGATAGTTTAAGAAGATATTTTTCAACAAGAAAAAACTTCACAGAGGTTTGTCGGAGAGGGACCCCTCTCCAAACCAGAAGAGCTTTTGCAACTGGTCAGCAACCCTGGTCTGGACAACACTGGTCCAACCAAGAGGAATGATGACCAAGACGTTAACAAGGAGAGGTCTGTCAGTGCATTATGGGAAAGAGTTGCCATCCCCATGCCCGACGATGCTTCTTTTCCACAAGTACCCAGCAGGTTTTCACAATGAAGCTAGACATGTTGTGTATGCAAATAACAGTGTCCTTACTCCCATATCCACAGACAGGTTATCCTACACTCAAGTTATTGTGACTAGAGGATAACACATGCATGATATCAGCCAAAAAAGTTGGAAAGTGTAATGCCAGAGACAAACACACAATGTTCAGCAGAATCGTGAATGGATCCAACTGAGTTACTTGGGGATATAAATTATAATGAATAGGTTGCTATTGAAAGGGTATGAAGCCATGTCTCACACGCTGAAGATCTGAACAACTTCCTTACCTTGTAGCGTGTTCCGTTTCCCATCGGCTCCGATGATGACGTCGAACTCAAACTCAGAGAGAGGGTGGTCCATGGGGTTCAGCTTGGCCCGCCAACCCACACCTGAAGTGCAACAGGATCAGAAAAACGGTGTTACAAAGCACTTGCAAGGCACACAAAATCCCCCCAAGATGTCACTAAAGGGAAAAGACGTTTTTGATATTTTTGAATTATGTTTGAAAAGTGAAAGGTCCCAACTCGTAATCGACTCTTTCTGGAGGGAATTTGGGGAGGATGCAGTGTGAAACTGAAGTTAATCTGAAATCCGCACCTGGGAGAATCAGTTTGAGGGACGAAGAATATATAAAGGTGATCATCTCAGAACTGGGCTGACTTGCGTATGTCTAATTTACCTTGGGAGACCATGACCTCCAAACTACTGGTCCGTTTCCAGGCTCCACTGGTTGGCTGAAACTGGGTACAAATGTACCCATTTCCAATACAGTCATGCTCCCATGGAATCATTGCGGTTAAAACACCAAGCCTGCCGTTAAGCATTTCTGGAACTGCACAATTCCCCCGAAAATGGTCCAGTGCGGAATGTTTTGGTTTTAAACTAAATCACAAATTTATTTTGAAAATATCCTTTGCAGGCAAAATGTTTACAACTGGTATGTCTCCTTTATAATTGAGAAATGATCGGTGTAAAGTTGTTCTTTGTTTTCAAAAGGTTGTTTCGATATTATTAAAGCTTTCAAGTAAACAACCAAAAAAGTTGATAAGGACGAGCACCATTAGGTACCAGGAATTTCAGTGCGAATCATTATATTGCCAAAGAACAGGTGGAATGCAAGCCCACTTTCCCTGTATCAACAGAGAGGCTTCGGCCTGCTGTAGACTGCTCACAGTCCCCAACTGGGAATAAGGTAGATTTCGGAGCAAAAACTTCAGTTCAGTCCCAAACTGGTTGAAGATGTGCGTGGCAATGCAACAGAGCAGTGTGAGCACAAGTTTGCAAGACGGCAGTGGTGGTCTTCTTACTTTCTTGGTCTTGATCTTCGGGAGGCTCCTGCAGTGCCTCAAAGGTCACGTTGGTGTGAACTTCGACCCCTAGAAGCAGAGTGACCTTCAGGAGAATCAGTTGCAGCTGCCTGATGCCTGCACAACAAAGGAAATGCCATTTAGAGGTGCAAGATATACTGGAAACTTTGCAAGACGGAAAAAAAAGAGAAATAGTAACAAAGCCTGACTTTAAAGTTTGCGACTGAATGCTAGAACTTCCTCTAAGAAGTATGTCTGTCCTTGATCAGACTTGTAATATAGTTTAGGAACACAAGAACTAACATCAGCATTGCCCCTTTTTACGTCAAACATGTACATGTACATGTACCACATGAACACTACAACACCAGATAACAAAACTGTAAAGGTAACATTGTTGCTAGCGATCCAACTAACAGTACTGTAATGTAACGGTACTGTTACTTAACATTGTCTCAGCTTTAAGAAATGAACATCCCCCACTAACTTAACTAAATGACTCTTAAGTACATATTTACAAGTACCTTAATACATGTACATGTAAGCCCCATGTAAATGTACGAACCATTGTAAAAAATATGTGAACATTCACTGACATATTGATGCATGTGCTGTATGAATCTATAAACAGATATATTGGTTTGAAAACTTTGATTCCCTAACTTGCAGTAGGTTTGATAGCCTTTGAAAATGTGGTCTTTCTTTTATTCAAACTCTAAAAACCAAATCATGAGTAGTACTCTTCTCCCCTTTAAACCAGTCAGACAAACTTTTGAACATTTGAGTCACCCGTCTATTGTTCTGTAGTCAGCATTCCTGAAAGCTTATGCAGTGCACCATGGTGAAATTAACACCGGGCTATTCACAGAAATAATCCTGCTGAGAGAGCACAGACTAAACCCAGGAGCAGTCATGGCCCCCCTGGGAGCACATGTACTAATCCCACTGGCGAATATGGACTACATGTACATGGCAAACACGTGATGATGCATCATACATGTACATGTACTTGTATCATACATGTACATGTACTTGTACCATAAACAATGTAGAATAGGACAAGTGTACACATGTACATGTACACCAAGTAGCACATCGCCAGACATGTACACATCCTTAAGTCAAGCATTCTTTAAGCAACATTGTATACAGTCATACTGGAAGGAGCGTGTGCTCCTTCCAGAGAACATTAAATATTGAAAGAGCACCATGCATACACTGCTAAGTTTGGCACCCTCTTGAAGAGATTGGACTTCCAACTGCAGACAACATTTACATCTGCGTAGGTCATAAAAACTGCAATGCCAAGCCCTACTGGTGTACACAGCGTCATTTTACGACATTTTGGGCACCTGCTTGTGTGTGACTTGGGAGAAGAGTAAATATTTGAAGGCTGGAGTCAGAGGACTTTCTCACTGAAGTGTTGCAGTCGACTGTGTCATAAACTGTGTGTTAGATGAAAGTGTATTATGAAACCACAGGGAGGAAGGATGGAAACCTGAACACTGGCAGTAAACAAAACCAAATATGCCATATTTTCATAATCAGCAATGGTATGAAAAAAAAGTAAATCATACAAATATCTACTGGTGCTGTGAAAAGATAAAGTTTTGAGAAAGCCGTAACTTCAAAATATATAACTTTAGGTTTCATGTCATAAATCATTTGAAACAGCCTTGGGTACCGGCACATGTACATTTCATATGCACATAATACCATCAAAGACTACATTCTAAGGCACACTAGACATTGGACACCTGCCATAGCGACCGGTACACGTTACATACATCAATGACTTCATCTCATCTGCATAGTACACTGACTTCACTCTGAAGTACCAAACGTGCACAGATCAACAGCAGAATTTAACAGATTTTCCAATGGGATATCAAGCCACAGAACCAAGTAACGATCCCAGAGCCTGTTTAAACAAAGATCCTGAAATGAAATTTTGTGAAAATGCCGAGCCCCCCCCCCATTACTTCCAAATTAACTTCCACATAATCCCAGTTTCCTGCAGAAGCAATTCAGTCTATTTTTAACTCCCCAAACTCTGAAAATCTATCGACACAGACAAAAGAGGAGTCAGCCAGCACGCAGACCACCAAAAAACCCACTTCAGCCAAACACAGCAACTGTCAGGCCACCACTCTGATGGGTTCCTGAAACCACAGTTGCCCCAATGTTCTCTTTGTCCCCTCCTTGCTTTCAAGGTCTGATCCCGTCATATCTTGGTCACAATCCCCAGTCTCAAGACAGCAGTTCCCTCCAA